TTTTGAAAAATGTTTTAAAAGTTGTATAAAGCCATCATGTTGATATGCTATAATTTATTTAGCCAATATCTGATCTGTAAATTGTGTATTCCCTTAAATTTCACTATAATATATAATCCTTTGATTTAAAAAAAAGGAAAAAGAATTCCCCTGTATATGAGATTCTGCTCACACTGCTATTATTTCTTGACTCTGCAGCTCTTGAATGAGATTAATTATTCAAAATGCACAGATTTATGATCCAGGAAGTACATCTCTGCTTGTTCTTGTTATCATTTTGTGAGTGTTTCAGTAAGCTTAGTGTATAGAGAGATGTGAACAACAGAACACTTCTGAGCTAAGTGTACAAAAAAGAGGAAATTTTATTGAGTGCATCAGGACATGTAGGGGACCCCAAGGAGGCAGCGCAGCTGGCCAGGCTGCTGGCTCCTCTGCTTTATTTAGAAAGCCTACCTGTCTCTATGAAGTTCATGGTCATTGCCAGCACTCTCTGAAGAAAGGCTTTCTCGGCCTCCGTGAATAGGCTGAAAAATAATGTGCTCTTCGTTGCCACATTTGCTTTGCTAGCTCCATGACTAACAGAAGTGAACTAGGCTGTCTCAGTTTTGATCCTGCGTCTTCAGGAGCAGAGTCTGACCGACCTGGCTGGACCAGGTGTGTCCTTCAGTCTGTAATCAATGTATAAATGTGGTGCCCAGACTCTGAGCAAGGGAGAGAGGGTATAGACTTGGAAACCCCCTCCCAGTGGACCTGTGCATCTGGTAGGACATTTATAAGCCGTTCAGTCTGCTTTGGATTTTGCTCTTTTTGTACAATGGAAGAATTTCGTATTTACCTTCATGATTTTCAGTGCATCTTTCTGAAGAATGCATCTTCCTGACTTTTAAGGCATCTTTTATTCTTTTGATGAATTTCCTGGAACAGAAATTGAGATAATTAGACTCTTTTTGGTAATACTAAATTGTTTCAAGGACATATTACGTGTTGAATAAACAAATCAGAAATGAGAATTCTAAATCATTGGTGTCTTTAGTTGCATGACAATGATAGTAGTACAGACTGAATTAAAACTTCTCTTTCTAACTTCCGCACCACATGGATAAATTGAACTACTTTGATCTTTCTGTAACCAATGAGAAGTGAAAGAGTCTGGGTGTGTGCATAATATGTGTGAAAATCTGTACATGTAAAATAATACTTATTTTTCTAGGAGAATGGGATGGACTTCCTCTGGAAACTTCCCAAAGTTATTAAAAGTATTAATAAACTATGCATTCAATATTTATTAAACTTTAAATAGAATATTTTAGTATATTTAACATAGTGAGAAATCATATTATTATACACATTATTCATTTAAATGCATCTATTGGAGCATTTCAACCATATTTTTAAACAAGAAGACATCATGAATTGGACCAATATTATTTAACTAGGGTATCCTTTTGCCAGAATAAAAAGCAGCATGCAATTGTAATCTGTAATATCGTAAAGTCTATAATTAAAAATAAATATTTTCTAAAAGCCTTTACATTTATATGGGACTTTTCAGACAGCATAGTACATTCATGTATTATCTTATTTGCTTTTAAAATGATCATGGGAATTAGATGTTTTTCCAGATACCGAGTATAAAAAACCCTGTAAGAAGTAAATAATTCTAATTTGAAAAGTACTAAATGCATCACTGAGAACATAAAAATATAAACAAATAATTAAGAAACATCGTGACTAATCAAGAAGAGCTTATCCAAAAGAACTAACATAAACATTCCAAGATAAACATTCCAAGTCCATTAATCAAGTTTTCCACTAACATCAAGGAAGGCAAGAGAGTCAGCATGTACTGGTGATGCATCATGTGGTAGGGATTGTGCTGGACTCTTCTTTGTCAGTTAGAGCTTCAGGGTTTATTGTCTCTAATTTACAGAGAAGGAGATGGATGCTTCCAGAGGTTCTATGACTTTCTCAAAGTCACCTACATGATAAGTGCTAAATGCCGCTTGATCTTTCCCAGGGATGTTGATCTTCTCACAGTGCTACCCTGCTTCTCCTTTTCACTCTTAATGTTTGGGGTTTTTTTGGTTTGGGAAGCAAGGGGGAAAGTATTAGAGCAGACTTGATCCAGCGGCATCTAACGGCCCAGGGAGGTGACAAAACAGTCTTAGTGAGGTTACACTATTGCTTGTGATGTTTCTTCCTCAGCAAGTTTCAGACAGCACATTGTCTTTTTCTTACTTTATTGAAGTATATTTGATTTACAATGTTGTGTTAATTTCTTCTGTACAGCAAAATGACTCAGTTACACATATATATACTTTTTTTTTTCATATTCTTTTGCATTCTGGTTTATCACAGGATATTGAATATAGTTCCCTGTGCTATACAGTAGGACCTTGTTGTTTATCCATCCTACATATAATAGTTTTCATCTGCTAATCCCAAACTCCCCATCCATCCCTTCCCCACCCACCCCCCACTTGGCAACCACAAGTCTGTTCCCTATATCTGTATGTTTCTGTATTGTAGATATTTTCATTTGAGACAGCACAATTTAAGTTGCTTAGCTGACAAAGGAAATGCATTGCCTTACGTAATCACTGGGATTCAAATGTCGCTTGAGCCTTAGGATCATGATTTCTTCAGGGCCGTGTCTCTAGGTCTCCCAGATGCATTCAACTCTGCCTTATTCTTTGGCTAATGTGTTTCGTAACGCTTTGCTCATGATAGAGCAATGGCTGCTGGAATCTCCAAGACCACATGGTTCCACATTCATAGCCA